CTGTTGAATAGATCAATCCAAAAAGTATAGTTTGCTTTAGTTTAGTCACGAATTTCTGTTCTCTCATGCATAAACGGAAACTGGTTCGGTTTTACTGAAAATGCTAACAAGCCTACAGTGTAATTCTGCACAAAAGTGAGGTACCATAACTTTCCTTCCGGCAAGTTGTATGTTGATTAAGTTTTATCATTTCTCGACCATCTGGTATTCGACTTTCTCACGAACGTACGTATGAAAAGATTTAAATGTTGTGTTGAGCATGGCTTTATCAGGCGAAATTGAGATCTTTAGTGTCGTAACAACGCCATCGACAATTCTGTTCAAAACCTTTTGTCCGGGAGGGTTTCTTTTTTCAAATGATGTGCACAAACTAGCATTTAGAAAACACGTTCAGGGGAACAATTGTTCTCCATGACTCATAATTAGGCGCTTACATTTTATCTGAGGGGAGAATACCTAGGGGTTGGTATGAAAACAATAAAATGTGAGGAATCGTTCACTTCGTGTATGCCTGTCAGTGGGTGTGTTGCGCATCGCATTCTCAGATCTGTGCTTCCGAGATTTTCTGTCGTCACGTTGGTCGTGTGACCCAGTTGTGAGGAGTCGGTGTTGTGTGAAAATGTACGTGTGTGGGCAGGGGTTGGTTCGCGAACCCATCGGAGATGGAGAGATTCTGGGCTCATAGTTCGGGGTTCAAATATTTGATAGAGATGATCTCAAGTGTGGCCAATGTACGCATTCTAACATATTTACACCTATTCGGTGGAAACTGATAAATAATGAGGAATGCTTGATTTAGGTTAACACGATAGCCAGTGTCTACATGAGCGAGAATCGCACTTGTGACAGATCCAGAGCCACGTTGACTCATATCGATGGATAACTGATGTGCCGTACGACCGACGTAGTATGCGCATTTGAACGAGTAAATAATCAATAAAGCAGTCAACATCAGTAGTTCATCTTCATTCCGTTTGGTCATACCGGGTTCCATTTCCCCGGAGAAAGTGAATCTGTCCGCATAAGGTTTCGTGATTACACTGAAGAATGATTTTCCTAATTGAGATCTGGAGTATTCCTAAATATGCGAATTTTCAAAACAACTGATATCACCTTAATATTATTCCATATAACTAATAATTTTCTATCGAATCACCATGATTTTTCTGTGATCGTTTGCTTCCAAACTGTTTGGATTGGGAAGAGAAAGCGTGCTTGAATGCTTTATACCCTAAACGGACTATACGGACGATACTGAAATGTAACCTTTTCAAATCACTATTAAAAATGGTCTTTTCTTCACAGTCATTTCTATTCATAGCTACTTCTCATTGTTTACGAACCACGCGCACATACTCATAGTCGGGTCGGTCCATAGCACAAAATGAGCTGATCAAAGAACAAAATCAAGAACTGGGTTTTGTTTTATCAGACAAAGCAGGAATTCAGTCCGTTTGTCAGTCAGTCAGTCTGTTTGTCAGTCAGTCAGTCAGTCAGTCAGTTAGTCAGTCAGTCAGTCAGTCAATCACTCAGTGGTTCAGTCAATCCGTCGATCATTTTAGTTCATCGAGGTAGTTAACCGAACCAGCCACTGGTACAGACACAAGCATACCTACAATCCAGAGGGCAAATTGCCATGGGTGCATAGACTCACGGAAATACGAAACATGTGTGTGCACCATTTGGCCTCTATCGAGCCGGCCGGCAACCTTTGCGGTCGGTTGTTTCAGGACCTATTGTAGCTTTCGTCAAACTAACCAGACCATTCCAACATATACTTCTTTCCTCTCACTCAATCGCATCCGCACACATACACACACAAACGCAACCACACACAAGAGCACAATGATCAGAATTCATGTGTGCGCGTATGTGCATCCGTGTCTCTTTCCAGAAAATGGTAAAACATGCAGGGTTTTATACCGGTAACGTTGTGCACCGGTATAGGCATAAGCACTTGTACACAAACACGCGCTTAAGCGTCAACATGAAGATTGAAACCCCATAGTGCGTAACGAGCCCCGACCGAATATACCGTAAATTCAACCACTGGATGTGCTACTGGTGGCGTTGTGTTGTTGGTTGTTTGCATGGTGGTAGTGGTGGTATACTAGGAATAGTGGTACTGTTAACACTGTTTTCCATTGCTCCTGCGGGCACAGCTGGTTGAACTGAAGCAGATACGGGGGATAGCGTGCGTACGTGTGTGTGTGCGCGCGCGCACTCACTGACATTCGTGCTGGCGGCACGCTGGTGGGATTCTAGATCGGGTTAGACCAATGAAATACTTGGTGCATGCCGGCCAACGGTAGTGGCACTGTGTAAACAGTCATCAGAGCGAGCCTCGCGAACTATTTATTACATCAGAGGCCGACACTGGGACCAAAACGCTTGCGCACGCTTACTCTTAAACCGACGCCACGTAGTTTAACATTGGCGTACACGTGCACACACAAACATACAAACACACTGTACAAGTGACGCAGCCACAATGCGTTTGCTGATCATATTACTGTGCTTCTTGGTCCACTCAAGCGTAGAATCGATTACTGCTCAAGATTATGGTAAGTCTTCCAACCGCTTTCTTAGAGCAAACAATTCCCTCTCGTCTCAATCCCCGGTTGATTAAGGCTAAAGTTTATGTAAGAACTGATTTGAGTACAATTCAGTCACATACTATACACTAAGTTGTGATTGAGCAAATGAACAATAAGCTCATTGTCAATGTCATCGTGGTCTTATGTAGAGATTTGTTCCTCTATTTCATGGTATCCGTCTGATAATTCCAGTAAGGTAGATGCATCAGTGAACCAAAATAATCGGTAAGGGTTTCAAGCAACAAGTAGTAGAATCGAGAGTGCCATATGTTAACTTATATATCTGATAGTTAAATACCGTAAACGATATTCCATGTCCTTCTTAGAGTAATGAACGTGCTCTCAGTTCACTGGCTTTTGTTTAACAAGCTGCTCACGTGATTTAGCAACGAGCCCCTCTATCTGTTTACGCACATATCTGTACACCATTAGTATCCAAGTTATACTGAGCTGGGTTCATTATATTTGTACGGTGTTAATAATGTGAGTAATTATTTACCACGTCGTCCAGGTACTGAACTGAGTTCCAGTTCAGTCTGTGAAATGGCAAAGGGGTGGTATTTCGCAACTATCCAAGTGATCTGGTCTGGAAATCCGTTTTATCCCTCAAGACTTGAAAAGCATTTTGACCTCGACACTTGAATTATCACATCAATAATCACTATCCTGTTTTGTACTGAAGAGTTCACCTAAGAGGCACTGAGAAATGTAATGATTGTTCAAAATCTGGGACGAGTAGGGGGTGAATGTTATGCAGACCAAGCATGGAAAATTCAGATCAACATACTAATCATCCAGTGATATTCTTGAAATATTTTCTAACCTGCAAATTGTAGACTTATCTTCATTCACTTTATATATTGCTTTGCTCATTTGACGCAATTCGCATTCATGACGGTCGTCAAGCCCTGAACCACTTAAACAATAAGTGAAACAGCTCGTTTATTCGAGAGGGATTGGTGAATGTGCCTTTACATTAGTGACATTACGGTTCTGGCTTAAATAGGCGTCTATTCATGACCAGTTTGATAGAATTCATTCATTCCCTCATAAAACGTTGGTACAAAAACGATAAGAAATATAACGTTTGAGACGCGGTTCACGTACTCACAGGTATATTAACCAAAAATACACACACTGATTGGGGTGACCATATATTTGGGACAATGCATAAATCCGAAAACATGTTCAAGCATCAAATTGCAGTAGCTGCACTCTCCGAAGGAGTGAAACCCCCTGGCAGGACAATTGGAAACTATGCCTAATTCCTGTGAAGCTGAATATGTTTTTCCAAGCAACACAATTTGAAATGTGACTAATTTGGTTTGCCGTAGAGGAAAACCAGGAATAACGCGAGTACCGGTTTATGACTGCTTCCCGTGCGTAATTTTCTTGTCCGAATGCCTTGCCAAGTATAAACAAGACTTATCTTAAACGGATTGCAAACTGTGTTCTCCACTTTTCCCAAAACCTTAATCGCTCTATGGATACCTCAATGCAGAAGAGGATATCTCCCTCGGTGGTTATCATCCGGATGATGGGCCCGAGATTATCCTCAACCCGGGTGACCCGGGGCCATTGGAGGTGAACATGGGTGGCCATGTGTACTCGCGGTGCTCCGTCCGTGATAATCACGAATACTCGTTCAAGTGGATCAGACGTTTACCAGACCATAGTTCACAAGAAGTCTCCTCCACTGCTGTCCTCTACCTATCCGATGTACGTGTTGAGGACATGCAACATCCACTCTATTGTCAAGTCACACGTTTGTCTGACGGGCAAGTGTTTGAGAAAGTACTCAACATTCGCATGGGTAAGTGCCATTCTGTCTTCTCTACAGTCTCTATCTGGCCCATATACCATTTGCTCGCCGGTTGACGTTATTAATGCAATGGCACTTATGGGAAACAAATTATTCCCTTGTGATTTTTAAATTGCCACCAGTAATTTAAGATTTGACCTGTAAAATAACCTAAATAAAATGGTTCAATTGGTGGTTATCCAAGATGTTATCGCAGGTTGCTTCTGTCGGTGAACATTCAATACATAAACACGCTCACTACATGCCTTGTGTTTCCCAACTCGCAATCGTATCTCCGAGTTCATTTCGCTGCTTATCATTGAAATGTAGCCGTTCTCTTTTTGTTGCATGTCCTAGTAGTGTCACGCATGTGCTGTTTGCCTCGTCTGAATGTATTAGCCATTTTAGCAACGACTAGCTTTAGTCCGTTCACTATCGAATCTGCGAGTTCGAGACCATCCTTGACCGGGTGATGTGTTCGTAGAGGAATAAATTATGTGAACTCATATGTTTCCATCATCACTTCTCATCATTTACATACCACATTTTGTAGTCACTGATCAAGACAAACATAGATTTACATACATATATACATGTACATTTATATACGGTCATATAAATTGCACCTCATTGGGTTTAATTTTTATATTTCAAACCATCCGTGTCATATTGTGTTGTGATTATTTCGTTGTGTTACGTAATCCATTTCCATTCATGCTCACCCACACCCCCTGTATAAACTCACACATCTGTACTGATTTCTCATTATATATCTATATTCACATTACATTTGGAATGCCGAATTCCTGACGCACCCCAAATTCCTTTTAGTCGGTTATGGTGGTTCGCTGCCCGCTGAACTAACGCTAACCATTCGTTCATTACCGGCGGAAGATTTGTCCGCAGGACGAATTATGCGTCAGTGTCTGTTCGAGAACAATGAGGAGATCAACCAACAATTTGATTTTCGCTGGCTCGATCAAAATGGCCGGGTGGTAACCAATGGGGATGCGCTGTATTTGATGGTGCGTAGAATTTTCCCCTCATCATTGCTCCAACCTCTTCCATCGTAACAATCTAAATCTAACACACACACACATAACCAGTCATAACACATCACTCCTAAAACTCAGTTTCATTTTATCCGCCTTTCTTTGGTCCTGTCTGTCAATACTCTAGAAAACCTATAGATATAGAATATGTTATCTATTCTTAATATGCATCATCGAGTATCTAGAGGAAATACTAACCTACTGAAAGGGTATTAATTGGAAGCGTTTACGATGAGGGTTAAGGATTCTATCCAAGAGCTGCCCGCCAACCACTGGATGAACGAACTTTGCCCACACTTGGAATATTTCGGTGATAGTACCATCTATTTAACTTCTCGCAAAACAAAAGGACTTATCCGGAAACCAACAACGAATCCGGCATTACGCGAACAAAAAGAATTAAGCACATACAACTGACAAACCAGGTTTCCGGTGTTTAAACCGAAACTTGATTGACAGTGAATATATTCCTGTTCCATACCGTTGGCGTTTATCACGGATCGGTCTCGTTTGTTGGGCAAGAAATTAGAGTTCTTACTGATAAAGGTGGAACCATACCACCTGCCGAGCCCATAAGCAGGCTATTGAAAAAATAATAACATTCATTGCACCCTGTTACTAATCAGCACATCAGCAAAGGACCGAGTACAATGTACTGCTGTCATTTGATGTGCACCACAAAAACGATGAAATATGGTTGGAAGAGATAGGCAAAGTCTGCTACTCCTATCAAAAGCAAACCCAGCACTATCCACAATAAAATCAGTCTACTGGCAAACGATTATGGGATCAGTTTGAAAAACTGTAGCAAACAATTGGACTGCTCCAGCAATCGCCGAATTAAAATGAGAATCTACTCTGATCATTATGGAAGGTTTTGTGAATAATCACGTTCTACTCGTAATCCCTGTTCAAAAACCATGCATGTAGTCATTTGCTGATCTTAGCTCGATCAGTATAGCTTTTTAAATCGGATGACCAACGAGCTTTTGTGTTTTCATTGGACAACAGCACCCCTGAACCGGTGCGGTTTGTCTAGCATTGGTTTCATTTTCATCATCATTCAGAAATGAGATTCTCATTCTGTTGAACAGATTTGTCAATGTTGTTTTCATCATAATCATCTCTAGCATTTTTTGTTACAAGCTGACTTTTTAAGTAGAATGCACATAACGGTTGATATTCAGTGATGGTATCCAACTCATTTAAGTTTCATTATCCGTGTCAACACACTTGCTCGCATGTGAAATCACAATTAGCTTTGATGAACCCTGAAACCTGACCACCAGGTTTTAATTTATCTAGTTCAGTTTTTTTACTCACCCAAGCACTTAGTTATATAGGTTGTTTTTGACCCTGCGGTTGTGTGCAAACACATTTAGTTTAGCCTGAGTTGCTTTAGGCTGAGAAGTACGTCAAAATATGTAGTGTATTTTCACCCGCGAATAACAACTTTGCTCATGTTTGAAAGTGTATTTGCACCGTACTATATGAATGCTGCCCCCAATTACTGCACACAAACACACACCAGAGTTACGCACAGAAAGGTACACTGGTCAACTCACACTCTCGGTCGTCTATGCTTGCTGCCCTTCATTGCACATCGGTTGTTTGTCCTTATTCTCCATTGTGCTCATTCCTCTATCCCTTTTACCCGCCCCTACCTACCTATCTACCTGTCCCAACGCACAAACGACAACTACTCACCCGTAATCATATGTTCTCAAAACACAATTATTAAACATGCCCGCAATCGCATACACATATACACACATGCATATATACCTGCAAAAATGTGCACCCACCCGCTCACGTATACCATCACACACATACACACACACACAACGCACTTGCATCCTGTTCGCGAAAAACACCCGTTGCTTCACTTCATTCATATTGTCCCGCGCAACTCATCCATTCATCTATCCTCACCCATGGCACATCGGACACATGCATTTGTTCCACAGCTAGAGGATCCAGCTGATTTGGGCAACTATACGTGTGAGGCTACGCATCGGTCATCCAGCAATATCTATCAGGCCAAATATCATGTTACCCGCTCGTCTCGCGCGCAAGGTAGAGTTCGCCAGTGTTCTATACCTACCCACTCAAATATTGGTCTAGAAATTGTACAGCCACGTTTATCGCTTTCTAGCGTAGTGTTTTTTACGTTTTATAGATAGCCTAACACGCTTTCACCTCTTTACCGTTTCTCGTAGTTGCTACTAATTGAGAAAGAAAAATATTTGTTCGATTTTGCTACCCAGTGATTTTCGTCATGAATGAAGCCCTGTGAGGTTGCACTGGTGATAAGCTAACCAGTCCTTGCATGCATTTTATCATATTACACGTTTACATTAGCTGTTTTGAATTACTATTTGCCGCTCTTTTAGTGATGTTCAGCATACTCTTTGCCGCCTGCTCTTCTGCTCACGTTCTCAGAACACTCCGAGGCGATCGTGGATATTCGATGACTCTTTCTTGACCACCAAGTACCCAAAAAGCCATTCGGCATCAAATACGGATAAAATCTTGATTATCTTTCGTTGTGTCCACTTTGTAAATTAGAAAACCATCATATTAGTGGCCAAATGTAGTAGAAAATAAAACATTTTGTGACCTACCTGACAGTATGTGTGTGTAAGTTTGTGGGTGCTAGGATTTGTAAAAAACACTGACCCAATTCAAATCTCTAGACGGGATTATATTTTGCACGAGTTTACGTCTGTATAGATATGTCTCCACTCAGTTTGTAACATACCCGCAAGATATTCAACATCGACGGCTAAGTCATAAATAAATCACATCCATGTGTGTAAGATTAAACTTGAACAGTTGCAGACACAATTCAGAAAAAGAAGCAAATATGTCGTGTGTTCAGAGTCCCTTTCTGTGGAAGAACTCCCTCGGGATGGAAAATAAACATAACTGAAAATGTGAATCAATTCGAATTCAGAAATGTATTATTTATCCGTTTCTGATATATTTTCGTCAATTTCGATAATAAATTAAACACAAAATTGGATTATCATGCTATTGTCTCGGACGCATTGAACAGGAAAACTTATTTGGTACATTTCAGAAATTACACGTGCGCTTTTGAATTTTATTGCAGACATACGAGTACAGCACAAATTTGCTTCAAGGCTTATAGACCATCTGTGTGCAAGGAAATAAAAATATCCAGTATCTTGGTTGCAGGAACCGAACTATTTCAAGCAGTCACCGGGACACATATGTGTGCACAAATTTCTGCGCAAAAGAAAACCGTGGCCTATTTTGAGATGCCGCAATCTGTGTGAAACCGTAATGTCAAAACAAGCTTAGTATTGGAGGTGGGAAGCAAAGATGTTGTTTTTCAAGAATTTTGGAGACAGAAAAGTGTGCCACTTTGCATCTACCGCTTGACAGATGCGGTGGTCGTGGAAATAAGACCACTCTTGACAAACAAATCTGACAATTTCAAAAGGTCCCTATCTGAATGGATCAAAACATTCTGATAAATAAAATGCTCGGAAAACAGGACAGTTCATGCTCTGAATCTGATAGCATTTTACGTTTATTCAAATGCGCATTAAAATGAAATAATTTAGCAAAAAAGCTGTGTTCTAGTTTCCGGTCACGCATTTCTCCACAGATTCGTACAACCAACACCCTGAAGTATTTCGGTTGATTCAATTACAGATTATTATTTGGCAGATATCAAATTGCATTGGCACATATCTAGTGAATTTGGATCTGTGATAAGAGTCTCGCGTTCCATTTTACTCAACACGAAACTTTCTGACCAAAACACAACATCCTCCTCTCACACACCATGTTATAGCTTCGCAATACATTGTGACTATCGTACCGGATACAACTCAAGTTCTGTTGGGTCGTCCGTATGAGATGCTTTGTCGCGTGGAACCGATGCCCTCGGAACCGGTCTCGTTCCGTTGGTATCACAAGGATCGAATGGTTGGATCAGACGCACGACTTCGGTTGCCTTCGTTGACCTATCCAGATCTGGGAAGTTATGTGTGCCGAGCTGAATGGACCCCGGCCTATTCACGAACCGGAAGTATGGCCGCCAATGCTACAGTCGATTTGTCCTTGGCTTTAACTAAAGAAGCAGAAATCGGTGAGCAAATACATATAAATCAGGATAGCTCAACCTAAGTTCAAATGTGTAGCCCATAAAAATCTGCAAGTATATTGAATTGGTATTGTTTAACTCCAGTATGTGTAGGACGATAAATATATTTGTAGTAAATAGAGGTTGTCAGTTTGTTCTCGTTTATAATGTGAATACAGAGTTCTGTACATATTGCTGCATATTGTCACACAGCACATTGTATCCTCCGATGAATCTATTGAGTTTTGCTCATACTCCCGCACATGTTTCTTTCGTGACAGAAATGAGTCCTCCACCTGGATCCGTTTTGGTCACATTGCCTGGTGAAACCCGTGAATTGCATTGTGAATACGGTCAGCTCTCGAATCCGTCTGTTCAATGGTTTTTTGAGGGTCAGCCACTTGAAAGACACCCAACTTTGAATGCTTCCAGCCGCGTGTACCGCATGGATCGACTGCGGGTGAGTATTATCACTCTGCGTGGTGTAGAAGTTGGTCACGGCGGCACATACGAATGCCGAGTGAACGGTCAAATTAAACAGACTCACGTGATCGTCCGGGGTAAGTCCTTGCTTCGCGGCTTTCAATAGATATCATTCGTAATTTCCTTCAGATTGTACTGAATCTAATTTGTTCCTCTCGTCCATACTTACCTCCGCTGCTTACACACTNTTTGGTCGTTCTGATAGTTGAAGACGGTTTGGAGGTGAACCCATCAGAGGACACAGTGGACGAAGGCACACCAGTGGAGTTCCATTGTCGTGCACACGGAGCCGATCGTAACGTAAATCAAGAAATGCAATGGTTTTACCAACCGTTCTCCGGTGGTCCGGTTGAGCCAGTTAATTTACATCCGGAAACTGGTTTCGTTCGCCAGGACCATCCTTATGCTTCACACACTAGTTTTATCAGCCGATTGCGCGCACGGAAATCCGACGAAGGTATCTACATTTGCCGTCTTCCGTCTCAGGGTGCTGAAGCTCGTGGACGACTTTATGTTCGTAAGTTAAAGTGTTCGTGAGAACACATGTGATGGATTGCTTGGTAAATCAAACGTATCCGTTCCTTTGTCGTGTTATCACGATGTAAGATACAAAGGTTATCCGGAAGATGGAAATGCACAAGTTGATAACCTGTTAGAGTTGAATGCAAAGCACTAGGTAACCTTGGAAATGTTTAATTAAAGTTATCTTTAGGAGAGATATCAACTTTCATCAAATCAGAAAGATCGCAAACGTAACTAGCACAAATACATCTCATACAGACACAAGCCACAAACCAGCTAGGTTTCATGTCCCGGGTTATATGTACTGCTCTTTCATTTGCATTCAATTTGATTGTTTCATTGTCATATTTGAATAAAGGCAAACTGATTATTTGTTTAAATCCCTGAACAAAATATTACACATGAAACAGACGTTTGCTTATCACGAATATTTGATCACAAAACTAAGAACCTCTCGTCAACGAATTCCACTCCCCCGATAGGTTTTCGGAACAAAGTTCTGATCTGACGGAATCCTCAGTTTAACCGATAGCTTCAAAATGAATAACTACGTTGATTATCGACACACGTTCAATCGATCATTTTTTACCGCATTCTCACATTTGTGTGATTAACGTTTGGTGATAAATGCATCCTAATGGCATGGAAACGACTTCAAACAATCCTCCGATTACCTACCCCGAAGCCGTTTGTTTGTACATTATCACATTTTCAAGTTAAGTAACACATGCAGAAAATATTCCATCTTATTTCACCTGGACCCTGAACTAACAACCCCATCGAGCTTCCGGCATAGACAAATCCACTGAGCTTTATTAGCCACATTTCAAACAGTCTCACTTATTCTCTATGCAACATATTGTTAAATAATCGCCAACATGTTTGCGCTCTGTGGGTGTAATTACGTAAGTCTCATTGAAACGGTGATTTAGTATGTTACAATAGTGAATTAACAGTCTCCTATCGGTATGAATACACCCTGACAACTCCAATCTTCATTGCGTTTCTAAACGCAGGAGCCACTGTACAATACCGCGTAGTGATCACTCCATCTGTCGTAAAGGTCCGTGTGAACAATCCGATCGAAATGGAGTGCTATGTGATGGAAGATACCGGACGTCCAGCCGATGTTCTGCCCACATTCAGTTTGATGGATTCCCGAATCCGTTTCGAACAAGAACGGGTAGCCGCCAATCGTGTTCGTTTCATTATCCGATCTGGCCTGGGGGCCGAATACAACGGAACTCAAGTTCGCTGCTCAGTCGATGTGAGTTTGGATTCAAACAGTCCAAATACTTGAATCTCAATTTACCTTTGTTATACGGAAACAATAAACAAAACCTGCACAATCTCAGTTGATTAAAGAGACTGAAAAACTGAAGATAATCTGTGCCTGTTTCAAACGAATATTGTACTTTTTCTGGGTAATTAATTGTTTGCCTAATACTATTATTATTATTAATAACTGTATTTTGAAAGACGTTAAGTGATCTTTTTCTCCCAGTGATCTCTTTTTCCAACCTCTACTCACTAATTTTTATGGGATGAAATACATACAGGGAACCGATCGATTTGCAACATCTACCATTGTGATCGAAGATACTTGTCCGCATGGATTCCGCCGTTGTCGCTCCGGTGACTGTCTCCCGGCAGGTCGATTCTGTGATGGTGTACGCGATTGTGCAGATGGCTCAGACGAAGATCCGAGATTGTGCAGTACGTTTCTTTTTAAATATGTCAGTAAACAACTCTAATATATTTTATACTAAATTTCGTCCCCGGACGATCATGTTGAAACAGCCAGATCGAATATTACAAATTTTGTGGACAATTGACGCTTACTTAAAGGTGAATACAATTAATGTACTTTCTCAAAAATGCAAACTAGTAACCTGTCAATTTTGCTATGCCCAATTTTTATTACATTATATCGATCCATTCAACGCTTACAATTTTCGTCGAGCACTTTCTGTGCGTGCATTTTGTTTCCAGCGAATGCACATAACTTTGTTTTATTGAATTCCATGCGGAAGGTGATTGGTGGTGCAGAGAGTGTTAGTGCACATGCGCCAAACGAGTTCTTATGCAACCCCCAACCCACCCAACAGAAACCAGGAAATAATTTAATGCGTTTACCATACAGTACTGCAGCTTTTACGAATTTACTGAAATAGCAGCACTGAAACTGTTACCAGCTTAGACAATGGAATTGGTTAAGTTTTGTCCCCCGCCCCTCCCAACGCAGCAAAAATGGAGGACGGGCTGTCAAGATTACAATAAAGTACATACAAGGAAACCCGTCAACACGTATGTTGTACCATATGAGGTGCATTAATATTTTTGGGTGGATTTTGTGGGGAATTCAGCAAAAGTGTACTTTTCTCGGTTGTTGACTTCACTAATGTGGTTCAAAAAACATACTCTTGAAGTAAAAACTAGGTAAAATCATACGGAAACGGACAATACGTTTAGGTGAACAGATAAATTACGCAAGAAAGCTTTCTAAACACCATCAGTTACTACATAAGTCCCATTTATGTGCACAAGATTGCATAACGTTTGACTTTTACGCTTGCAAAATGTTTTTCCTTCAACAAAAAGATCCCACTGCCGTGCTTCATTTTTCCAAAGGCATGAGGACAAATGTTGTCATGTGGCTGTCGTATATGTATATTGTCCTTTGGATTTTGCCCACATTATGCCAATAATCCATTGTAGTTTGTCAGACTGACCAATTTCGTCAATTTTGTGTCATTCGATCTACCATCATCAACAATTAAACTTCATTCTCTTGGATTCCAATGAATTTTATTGAATACCGAGTTTTAGCTTCGTGATAAACAAGTGCATTTCAGTTGATGCCATGAATTTCTTACAGTATTCCACGTGGTATTTGTATACACCAAGGAGATCAACGACATTTAGGAGTTCTAACTTACTGGCCATCATTAGCAGCATGTATTCTGAAACCTTACGCCAAATGTATGTCAGCTGGTATTTCGGCATTCCTTGTCGGCTACGACATACATTTGCACTAAAAAACAAAACGCTCGAAACCATTGTGAAAGGAATACTTTCCTAAAGAATAAGTCCTATGCAGTTTGATTAACCGACACATAGAAAAGGTTTTATTCTTCACAATAATTTCATTAATCAAAAAACTGCTAATAATTCTGTTCATTTCTTAAATAATCATTTTTATACATTTAGCGAAATGTGAACTGTATTTATCCCAACCCAACCTGTGACGATCTGTAGTACAAGAGTAACTCACAAACGGCAATACCAAAAATGTGGGGAAACAATTGTTAGCCAGTCTTCTGTTTTCTTCAGTCCTTTTTTAATTTATTCAGCCTCATAGTATGTCTCTTGGCTAGCTTGTGACTTATTCCGCTTGTCGTTTCAGATGAATGTGAACCCACGGTTAGGAAATGTGAATATTATCAAAACCGCGCACCACTCAAATCGACACATATGGTTCATTGGATCTGTGACGGTGAAGATGATTGCGGAAATGGATTTGATGAGGCCAATTGCCCAGGTACGCCAACCCACGCATTTGCACTCTCAAACGATCAATGCTGATTTGTTGGAGATGCATAGAACAAAACTCATCAAATCGGAATTAGACAAATGAAAAACACTTCATTGTTTATGTGTTTTCAACCCACAGATCCTTTGTTTGCGCAATGCGGTGACTACATGTTCACTTGCCCCAACAGCCAACGCCGAATTCCCCGATCGTTCGTTTGTGACAAGGACCAGGATTGTGAATACGGAGAAGATGAACGTAACTGCGGTATGTCTCCTGTCTGGCGCGGATCGAAATAATTCGCAAACAATTTTCTTAGCGAACTCATAATCTGTGTTTACTTGATCACCTGTCCCGTACAGAAAAACGGTCTTACTTCATAGATAACAACCATTCCGCGGAAGATGTACGTGGGGTGCAACCAAAAATGTTTTTCATAGCCCGTGATCACAATCGCAATAAATGAGGGTCATCTTCTGATCGTATGCTTTTACTTTTGTCACGCTTCAACCATCTTTTTCATGATAGAAGTGATTTGACAAAATGATATGGGTTTCTTAACCGTGTATTTAAAGCTTGTTGTTCCCTTCCCAGTGCAAAATAAATTAATTATATTTGTTTTGCGTCAAACAAGTATGCACGTCCAAAAATAGTGAAGCAGATGTTTTGGAACTCTCCGACGTTTTATGAACATTATTAAGTCCCCACAGAACCTAACTATATAAACGTAATAAATTTCAATGTCTTTCCCATATGAAAATCGGTATACTTAAACGTTTTATACTTTTCACTTTTATGCAACTTAGCTGGCCCCACCATTGAATCTTCCGGGAACTATCGCCACTCCGTCCGAGCCGGCACACAAGTGGTTCTCACATGTCGTGTGACCGGTCACCCATTACCTCGTGTGATCTGGCGTTTCAACTGGGGTTGTTTGCCCGAGAATGACAACAGATACCGGGTAACAAGTGTGGCACAGAATTGCGATTCACCAATGCCATCTGTTGTCAGCACTCTGACCATCTCCAACGTGCGTCCAGGAGATGATGGTATTTACAATTGTGAAGGTCTGGCGGGATCGATGCGCGCTATGTCCAATGACTATTTCGTGATGATTGAGTACTAGGTGGTAGGTTTATCCGTTTTATTCTACTTGACTGATAATGAAAGACGTCTCACCAGCTTGAGCTGATTACAATCATTTTTGTTAATAAACAAGTGACCGTTTGTTATTTTTCTTATGTGCCACAAACAGTTGTTTCTTTTAACATTATGTCAATAAACAATCAGAAACCAACTGAGTTCATGTTTCGGAAGGTAGTATGTGAGCTATTCAGTTGATTATGTCCTAGGCAAAGAGAATAAAGGGTGAATAGATAAAACCATCAAACATGGGACAGTCAGATTGGTTCTCATTAATCAGGAACTCCACTTGATCCATCTAATAGGGAAGTCGAACTTATGACCTCACATTTAAAGCGCAAGTATTCCACCTATTTATGAACCGTGCAACTTATCAGACGGGTTTTCATTTTTCCTTGGGTGCAATCCATGTGTGTGAGCTTTTTGGGGGCTCACAGCTTGTTCAACGTGGCACCAGACTCCGCGGTTTTGACTCAATTAAAACGAATTCAACCTGTCTAGTTTCCCTGTACACTATGAAACTGAAATGCAAGCTCCGGTGCTTGTAAACGTTATACACAATACAATACGATTAGAAATTCACTGAATAATGGAATAAAACTATTTACTACTTTAATGAACGATGTAACTTGTTTTTACACGCTACAATAATTATCTGCAATCGCTTAAATGATATAAATCAAGAGCCCAATAATCGGCGAATGTTTGTTTTTTCCGTCATTTCAGATTCCAAAATTCGCCAGAAACTATACGATTGGAATTGAATAACCACACTGAAGAGATTCACATGCGACGTAACGTTATTTTAAAAATTTTAAAATTACTCTCGATATTTTTTTTTGCAAGCCCGTTATGACTATTATTTGCCTGTTTCCTCCGATCTGATTTGTTGTTCGCCCCTCTTCGGGCCAGCAACCCTAAACTATGAACCAACAAATCCATCTATTCAACATTCGGTTGGTACCGTGTCCGACTCTAATTCGAATATAAATGTTTTTCAATTGAAAACAAATCTAGTGGCCCTTGATCAGGTGTTTGTCTACTAAACCATTTCATGATTACTCTCAAGTTAAAAGAATATATTTAACTGCTTTGGCACATTTGGCATTGCAATACAAACAAGCATGCAACTGGACAGAACTGGAATCAAGAACTGTTTTGGTTCCTATTCGGGATGCATGGTTACTTTTCTTTTGTGTCTCTGCGCTAAAGTGTACACGTTAGTCTCTTGAAATTGATCCGCGAAGTTGGTAAAATGCAAAACGATTATTTGTATTGTGTGCACCAATGTTTAAGTATGGGTGCGTATCCGTGTGTCTGGTTTCGGCAAATTATCACCGATCATCGTGCTTCTCATCACCAAATATGTTCTCGCCGCGTCGTTTTGTTTCTCTCTTCCAAACCAATCCACTCCAATCCTTTGTTCCTATCCTTCTGTCCAGTGCGTCTATTACTGCTGCATTTGGAATCTGTGTAACACGTCAACTAATATCATCATGATGATTAAGAATGTTTTCCTTCTTTTTTTGAAACTCTAGCTGTTTTGAAGTGCATTCACACGCACACACACATACACACACACACATAAAAACATACAGAAACATGCGGGCAAACAATCCAAGACGAACGACTCACAACAGTATCACCAAAACAACAAAACACGATTTGCACGGGGTTTATGGTTCCCAGATGCGTTACTCAGTTTTTCCACCTGTGGGGTATTCTGTCGAATTCTATCTGCCTCTTCCTCATTTTACTCCACCCCCGTGTCCCTCCATTCGATCCCCCGTTCTTTTTTTGTGAGCATTCTGATTGCTCTTTGAAAACATGATTTTTCTTCTGCTATTCCTTTGACTGGCCTGAAAATTTACATCTCTATCACTTTGGCAGTCACAAAATCGCCTACACATAAATATAAACATATAGATTATAGACCATTATGTTCTTCGTGAATTATTATTATTGCGTTCAGCAAAATAATCGGTATTACGTTACTGGGTGTGTCCGATTAATTGAGTAAGGCGCAAGTGAATGCACTTCAACTGACGCTTGATCGATTTTTTGATGTTTTCCCAATGCCGTAGCACCTCTAAGAGAAGATTCCGACGAGGATTTTGTTAACAGAAATAGACGGAAAAAACATCAGCCATGTCCAATGTGATTCGATTTCCATCTTGATCAATGTTGGTTTCACTAATAACGGGAAACAATTGTGGATAAGTACGATGACAGAATCAATACAGATTGGATTCGTTTCTATCGTACATATTCATATACCATGGGGATTTCCCGTGTATGTATTCATTGTGAAGTGGAGACTGCGGAATATGTCAATCGGGATAAATGACTTGGATGAAGAGACGGTGAAGAGAAGCATTGGTCACGAAACGGATGTTTGTGAACTCTACACGAGAATGTTTGAAAATGTGTTAATAATCCTGAATATCAAAGCGTAACAAAAGCCGAATTATTAAGGGAGTGAGCCGGTGAGATATGGCCAGGCAGAAATCACATGTGTTAAGTAAAGAGGTTTATCAAAATGTCGCATACTACAAACTCTTCCCAATTCATGTTTTTCGTTCACATGATTCTGCAGATAAATTCGGTGCTAAATCTCAATTAACTTATTCAAATCAATAAACATCATTCTGGTTCAACAGTATAGTTTCCATATCTGGCTAATGTGGAACGAAACTGTGATAATGCTCACCCACCCCCACCCCGCAAAAAACACCGTGAGATCAGTTGCACTCGTGCCTACAGACCTGTGAACGTTACTTTCAGGAAAACAGTTCTTTTCATCAGTTAAAGCCAAAGAGTGTGGAAGAAAACGTCACAATCTTCTTTGCGTTTTCTATCATCGATAGCATAGGATTTTCCTTCCCCGAGTGATTTATTCGAATAAAATATTCAGGTTGATTTCATGAATCACGTTGTAGCACCGAGGATGTGACTGAATGAACGAAACGGATAGATCGATTGAAATGGAATTCTGATTATACATCAGGCGCGTCAATATTAGAAGGCCAAAAGTTATCGAATAGGACATTTCTCAGATCTCAGTACATTAATTTGTCAGAATTAACGGGAAAATGGAACCTGGGGAGATCATCCAGAGTACGAAGTACTATTGGTTTTTGGCAATTAGAGCTTCATTGAAACACATAGCAGGAAGGACTCCTGGGTCATGGGATAGATAGTACTTGAAACTTGTTGTCATTCAAAGGAAGACTTCGAAAGGGCGGTTGAAATCTAAATTCTTCAGCAATCCGACGCCGGTGGAAAAATGAGTTCTTGAAATCTGGAATTTTATGGCAAAGCAGACCCAAACGTACCTGAAAAGTCTAAATTGATTAGTGTGAACTCGTATGCTTCGTTTCGGAGAGCGAAGGTTTAGAATAAGACGATTCGATGATTGACAGACAATTGAAAAACAAAATAGAGTTTGAAATCAGCGGGAATCCTTCAGAATACCGATAGTACACTTCTGGCCCACGCAAACGATGTATGTTACGATTTAATGCAAAAGAAGACAACCGTAGTCGTCTCAAAGTTAACCCAAAAATTAGTTTGATGATGGTGTGATGAACTTATATTTACAGTTGTTTATCCGGACGCATTCGTTAACGACGGTTCTTATGCTTATTCTGCGGTATGATACGTCTATTTCCGTACTCACAGGCAGACAATCTACGTTCCGTAATGACCGCATACAATGTACCGGAGAAAAACATTTGACAATCTCCGATACTATAAAAAACATACCACTAGTTGCAAGAAGTGTGTTATCAGAATTTATCAAATGAAATTAGTTTCCGTGCGTCAGCGTCGGAATAGGGATAACCGATAATGGAGGGTAATGAGTTAAATCCGACAGAAATCTTTAGGACGAAAGACAGAGAGCATTGATTCATTGAATAATTCAATAAAATTGTGTTTTGACCGTGTAACTCAAATGTACCGGTTTCGCATCTCGAAATGAACATTCGCGATTCGAGTCCTGTAGGAACAGGAGAAGTACGCTGTATAAATAAGTAACTAAAAGAACGGAATAGCTGTCCTGTGCTTCTTTTCGGTCATCACTCAGAGTTTTATTGCATTTGAATGCACATAACTGGAAGACGAGAATAAACGATGACCCATGAAGTGTGCCCCACATTCAAGACCATCGGTTGTGCCAGATGACTATGAGAAACTAAATGTGCCAATATGAACATTGAGTGTCCAAACGCCATTGATTTAATTTTGTATGGAATCAGTTTATTCTAACATCTTTTCGGAAAAGGAATAATCTTCTTTAGGCTCTTGAAAAAATGTAAACACATTGACAACTAGACTTGATTAATGGTTGAATTAATCCGTTGCATGAATTTGTAAGGTTTCGGAGTAAAAGAATGTTGTTTACACGCAGTAGAGTTAATGAGGTTTTCTATGCTATTTAAACCTTTGGACCAGTCCGCGTGGAGAAAATTAGCAAATTAGAACCACGCACTAAAGATTTTCCAAACACATTTCTCATAGATACTTAGTTTGAAAATTGCTTTAAACCAAATGTTCTACGAGTGTAAAAAGAATTAGCGGAATATGCAAATCTGAAGTTAAAACCAATCGAAACGAATACAGGCATCGCAAGCTTAGTCATCTCTTTCAAAACCGGTAGATTGTAACTTGAAAAACCGCGAAAAATGTTTTTTTCATTGAAATGAATTGTCAATTTTCTGTTTGTTCGTGAATATACCCTTTGAGAACAGCTACACTACTCAACTGGAAGTTGCTGTAATGTCGCTAACAAACGTTTCTCGAGGATTCGTATGTAATTTTCCCTATGTGAACGAACTAATTAGAAGAATTAAAATGGCGCTTCGGAAAGCTAGCGAGAGTATAAGAATAACTAAAGGTGATAGGATGACGTTTGTTGTAAGGCTTTTCGAGGGTAGTGCTTAGATTTAGTGAATATTCAATAACAGGGGACGTTCGCAGCAA